GGATGCTCCCCATGTCAACTCGCATAATTCAGTCGCCACGAGAAACCGTCCTCGTGAGTACTTCATTCAGCTGTGTCATCAGAAAATCGACTAATTTCCTTTCATTTTTTCATCATATGTCATGTATTTAGTAATAGAAAACTGTAGTGCCGAATTTCAACAGCATCACGTCCACGATACACGCCTTATGCCTGCACATTATTCCTTGCATTGAGGCTGAGGCGAGACCTCCAGGCTACGTTAAATCATCAGAATTTTGTCATTCACAATCGACACTCATTGCTATACCCGAGGAACATAGGGTCCCTCACATCGTACTGATGTCTTCCCCTCGAGCGTAACCCAGGCACCTCGCACGGCGAACCGAAGCAGATTCACAAGATTTCTGCACAAGGCCGTTCACTTTACATCGTCACCTGATCTCCTCCCGCCTCAGTACCTTATCGGTTCCTTCCTCTGCATTAGCTGGACGAGGCTTCCCCACACGGATCTTCGGCGGCCACGCCTTGAGCACCGAGGACCAATACTCAGCCTGACCACTGCAGCTGAGCGTGACGTGTCGCCCCACTGCCTGCGGGCCCACTCCGCTGAAGTATACCACCAGTGACGAGCTGCTCGGCGGAGTGACATTAGAGCCTAAATCACTATCCTAGTATCCAACCCTGATCCCTCCCCCTAGTACCAAGCCTCTCTGGCCACTCAATAATAGTAATGTCCTCACGAAAGGCCGTGTCAAAGTCGAACAAGGCAGCCACCTTCCCCGAGGCCAGTCGGTAGGGGTCCAAATGGTGCACCTACAAAACTACCATTACAATGCTCATGAATTGAAGGCATATCAGGAGCGCTCCAAGTAGCGCCATTCACGTTTTACGGGGCGGCTATGCCACAGCCCCAAGATATGCCTCGGTACAACCAATTTATCTTCGGGGCGGCCATGCCGCCGCTCCAGGATATGCCTCAGTACAATCAAGTTCTCTGTTGGGGCCGATATGCCACGCCTTATTACAACCAATTTCTACGCCCGGGGCGGCTATGCCACCGCCCCAAGATATGCCTTGGTAGAATACAATTCTACGACCGGGGCGGCTATGCCACAGCCCCAAGATATGCCTCAGTACCATCCGATTGGGGCAGCATGACCGGAGTAACTCTAATGTTGATGAGTTATGGGAATCGATAACATTTCATATGCGCCTTCTATCACCTGCTACTGCTCCTACTACTACCTTTGAGCCCTTCTCCAATAACCCATATTCGTCCTCAACAATGTATGTGAAGCTGATCAGATAACTCGGGCTTGGTACCTCCAGCGTTGTCTTTTGCGTTATGTGCCGCATCAAGGCTCGAGCCAAGCATGTCTTGCCGGCGCCCAAATTCCCCTTCAGTAGGACCGTTAGGCCCGGCCGCAAGACACTCGCTATCTGCTGGCCGAGCTTGATAGTTGCATCCTCGTTTGGAAGCAGGAAAGACACTGAGGGGCCTTCATTTGAAGTGGGAGGGAGTACCTCCGGACTGGTAACAGATTCTGAAGATGCCGAACCACTCAAGCCGGCAGATTCGCTCATAGTAGAAGCAACAACTACTGTAACAGTAACGTATGCCTTCAACTCCTCCCCTCGATAAACGGTTCTAACTTCGTCCATGGCCATCCTGTACACGACATGTACGAGTCTTGGGCGAAACGTTTAGAGGAATCGATGCCAATGGCGTGCGCGATTATAATGATGCATTAATGATGCAAGAATCGGCTGTGACAGGTTTCGCTACTCGGATTACTCCACGCCGCGGATACAGGTTCCGGCAGACCAGATTTCGCCAAGAAGACACCAAACGGATTGCAAAGTGGTTGGACATTTGAGCTAGGCAGTATGTTGGTAGGCAAAGGATCGGACAGCATGCGGAAATATGGTTTATAAACTCTAATTTTGCCTAATTTCTGTTGCATGGTCGGAAGTTTCCGCCAAATTTGGCGGAATCTGCACTGCATGAGAATTGGACGAATTTCGTATTGGTCGCACCTGCTGCTTCCAGGGTAATGCCAACCCATGAACCACACAGGGTACGCCAATTTTGGCCCGTGCAGTTGCAGTATTCATGAAGCTGAATGAGTATTGAGATCATCAGGCATTTTCATCACATTGGATGACTTCCACAACGAGGGATTTGAGGAAGCATTTTGAGATCACTTGATACTTCCAACTTGGATTATAGTGATCAAGTGGCGACTCAACTTAGTTTGGCTGCCGATCGGTATTCATCACAAGACAACAAACCTCTTCGTTATTTGCCTATTGAGATAACACTATACTGGATATAATTGAATGCCTTCCAAGGCCTCTTCATACTTAGCCGACGAAGGGTATCTTCATCATAAGCTCAGTTGCGGGAATCCTTAAGCCTAGAGAGATATCTCGTGTTCTACGGGGGATGGGAACAGCGACGATAATGCAGCAGCATCTTACATCTTACAGGGCATGCTTCCTACAAAGTTGACTCAATGAGCTGACTCCCAAGTCCAGCATACTGGATAGCTTGTTCCGAATTAGGGAGCCATCGATGTCTGAGCTCACAAACGATGGTAACTTGAACAAAAATACTTTGTATTCAGTATACGACGTAGTATGCGATATTTGCCTGCCCAGGACATGGCGGGGAAGTGTGCCATCGCGTGAAACGGATACATCGCCACCAGTTTCTACTTCGCGATACTGATGAATTCAGAGATTGGTTTCTCGCTGTCTGCTTGCTGCGAGCTGGGTTTTTATGGTACCCAATCCTAGTCGGGCTTTTGAGTGAGAGGGTTGCGGAACAGCTGATGATGCGGCAAGAGCCTGGGTCTGGGTCTCGATGATGTGTACCATGGTGCGTGTTTACTTGCGTGGGTCCTACGCCGTGGGACTCAGTCCCAGGACGCAGCTCAACTTGAACTGCTCGTTGGGGTGACCCCAGCAGGGTTATCACAGTGGGTCCGATTCAGTGGGGCTGGCAGCCTCGGGCTGCTAGAGTTCCACCAGGCGAAGAAAGTTTGACTTTTTAAATCTAATCTTTCTCGGAACGTACAATGAACATTCTCGGAGTGGTTTTGTTGTGCTATATTTGGAATTCCCGATTGGGAAGCTCACCAATCTTGTTTTGCCCAGTGAGGAGACCACCTAGTGCTCAACACCACGCGCGACAATAAAGAAAAGAAGTGAGCATTGATAACGATGAATGTTGTCCAAAATTGATTTTCTATCTAAAGCCACGAAACTATCCACTCCCTAGTGGGCAATGGTATGGCAAGTTGTTGTACCCCTGCAGCAGTGTAGGATGCTCATCGCTATTATGAGGCTGCAATTTGAGCACGGAGCCGTCCACTCGCACTATGGTAAAGTGGAAAGATGAAAATGGTGCCGTGACATTCCCGGCTTCTTTGGTCACATCAAATGGAGACCAAACAGTTACTGCATGCCAACAAG